TTCACGACTGGATTTGTTGCACAGGTGGCATCCTATCACAGTTCCACGCTGGAATTCACTGAGCTCCTGAGAGCGACCCATTCTTTCACAAATGTTTGTAAAAACAGTCTGCATGCCTAGGTGCTTGAATTTATACACCTGTGGCCATGGAAGTGATTGGAACACCTGATTCCGATAATTTGGATGGGTGAGCAAATACTTTTGGCAATATAGTGTACGTGCTAAAGAACATCAGCCTTTCAGATACTAACATCTCACAGATTTGGCCAGATTGTGACTGAATCTGTAGTCAACAATACAATTACCAGCAAAACAAGCCTATTGGAACAACAAAAAGCTTGTGAAAAGCTCTCCTTGTATGCCAAAACAATCCTGCCAATACCCACCTCAAATCAGCTGATAAAAAGAAAGAAAATTTGCACAGGTATCGAAAAAAGAAAGGAAGCGTAAAGCTTATTGTTTCACGCCGACACATTTATTTCCATTTTCTGTCAGAAATTCTAAAAATGAACAACAAGGAGGCAAAGACATGAGACTTGTTCTGAATCAAAGCGCTCTGAAGAGCTTGTCCAAATTCTGCTGACGATGCCTGCATTTTCCCCCCAATGGGATTCGGCTCATTTACAGCCTCAGAGAGGACGCAGGGAGGAGCAGAGCCAACGGAATGAATATGTCAAGTTATGCTGACAACTTTAAGTGTTTAAGTGACAGATAAAAAGACTCAAACAACATTACACTAAATAAATTAGGGCGATATATATTCCAGCTCTCTCTCTTATGCTTTGAGTGACACGACACACAGTGCTGTACTCTTCTGAGATGGCTCGCCGGCAAAAGAGTCGGCTATTTTTAAAATATATTTTTCCCATAAAGTGTTAAAATTCCCTTGAATTTTCAATTAACTGCAAGGACGCTCACACAGCTAGAAGGTCTAATATTCTTCCCTTAATTTCGTTAATTCATTTTCCGATTATACAAAATGTCCCACTTTTCAACCAGGTGTAAATACAACTGCCTGTCTGCTTTTGGAACAACGTATTACACATACACAAAAAAATAACTTTTTAAAGAGGAACAGAGTGGCAATAAGTCACAGCAGAGGGCTGAAAACCCTGGGGAGGACCAGCATTTCATTTAAGTTTTCTGTTATAATTTGAGTGTCCGATGTTATATCCTCCGGTTGTGTAGCAAGCCGCAACCCCTCCTTTATGGGTGCATAATTACTGACCAGGGACAGCATATAAGACATAAGCATTTAAAACACTGACCAATCCAAAAGTATTTTGTGGTAGTGTATGTGTTATCTCTAAGCCAGCGTTCATGAAAAACAAACATATGATCTGAGCTCAGTGGTTCTGAGGGTTGCCAGCCACCCTCTCCCTCTGCTGTATCATGGAACTCATTGCAGAGGAGGCATCTGTTGAAAAGATTAGATCTTAAAGAAAGCAACTTATAAAATGACTCTGAACTTGTAGAAACTACTAATAAGCACCATTACCATTTACCAAAATCCCCTGCAAGACAGCCCACCACACGAGATAGCCTCCAAAGCCCTCAAACAGCCAACCAAAATAAATCTGATCCAATGTGTTAAATCTGTAGATAAGATTTAGGGGGGAAGGGGATATAGCTCATGTGGAGGAACTCACATCAACCGTCCTCCCCCAACGATTATCATTTTCTCCTTGCTCTGTAAAGCCTGAATCAAGTTGGCTCGCAGCCCTCCGCCAGGGGCTTTGGCCAATACTGAGGATTAAAACCCTGCAAGTCTATAAATACACCTAGCAGACCAACGTCAGCAGCCAGCTCTCACCTCTTACTGCCGGGTAGCTCCTGCGTGTTTTCCTCCTTTCTGCAGCTTTCTTTTACTCTCACTCCATCTTTTATCTTCTCTGGCTCTCGTTGTTCTTTGGTCTCCTATTTCTACCCCCAACTTCCTCTCAGTTTGTTTCCCACTTTTCTGTGAGTCGCCCCTCACCTCTCACTCCGTCCTGCTCATACAATCGCACTTGGCAGGGCCCCTTAATTGGAAACAAGCTGTGAGAGGGCTTTCAGTTTGAGGTTAAAGCTGCATCTGACCTGCCTCCTGCTGCATCTTTTCTTCTCTCTTTTGGCTGAATTACAAGCTTGTACACAGTGGATGGGAGCAGATATATAAAGAACAGCATGGAGAAGAGGGAAGCACAAAATTGACTAACCACTGGCTGTAAACAGCAGAAGCTCAGAATGTAAACAGGGTTAGGCCACGTTTACTCCAAAAACGCAAATACTTAACATCTGATTTGACAACTGAAATAATTTTACACATATAACATGGACAAGTTCAAATATTTCAAATGAGAAATACAGTATAAATCAAGTGGTTGATCCAAAGTGGCTCACGAATCTCAATTACACAACCTAGTGTAGATCATCATGTGATATGTAGAAGTACCAGCCCTGCATGTTTCATGATTACAGCTTTAAATAAATCAATCAAAACATCAAAACACATGACACCTCAACTAACACAAAAAGAAATGGCCAGGCCTTTACATGGTAATTATTGTTAGAGGCTGTATTCAGTCAGTCATAACTTCCCTGTTGTCAGTGGGAGAGGATAAGAAGGATTTGTAGCACAAAAGACCACAGCCAGGCACAGAAACAATTACTTCCACCTAGTTAGATCACAGACTGAACTGTCTGACCCACAAGACTGTGAGACTACACACTGCAAGTCATGCAAAGCTTGGTATTTCTGGGGTAGAAAAACAAAACAAAAAAGCAAATTAAAAATAGTTTCTTGCATTTTGGATATCTTAGGATAAGATGTTATTAGAATTAAAATAAAAAAGAGCAATGATTATATTTGAAAATATATTGTTCAGTTCATCCCATTAGAACAGGAGGCATAACACCAAGACATCCAGGTCCAAAACAAAGACCTGCGGAAATTCTGAAATCAGTGCACACTGCAGGATATTTTCTACACACACCTGGTACAAACACCTCATAAAAAATGTATAGTGACTGGATAAGAAATATTCCTTCCCCGGTGCCACCCTCGTACACACAATCCATGAAAACCAAAATGAGGAAACTGCTCTCCATGAGGTGGGTGGAAAGGGGCTGGCTATTTTGTGCCACTCGTTAATGTTGATTTATCTGACGAAACAACACTACTGTCGTAAACATTTACAGTTTAGCATGCTACAGCAGCCATCGTTTCTTCACACATTCCCCCTGTTACCATGTTCAGTTGGGAATCCTCGTGTGATGAGTATCTACCCATATGCAGTGAGACCAAAACCCTAAAAGGGCATTGGATCAAGGCTCCATGTCATTGTCCCAGCATTATTTCTGTTTGCACTAGAAAAGCACTGAATGAGGTAACAATATAATTTACAGCATTATAAATGATAATTTACAGCAATATATGTTATATACCCAATGACTGATTGTTTGAACGTTAGTGCTCTGAAAGCAAAGGGAAAGGGTAGCAGCACTGTCATAATACAGAGAAATTCTGGGGGATGAAACTAAAGCCTGCAGACCAAAGGCCATGCAGCATACTGAGGATGTTTCTACTAAGAGCATAAAACACTCTGACCATCCAAACAAGTCAAGATGAGATAAGATAATCAAAATGTTCCCATTCCCCAGCTACTTCATAAAAATAGTTTTTCTTTTTCCTCTTTGTGCTACAGTTCTGATGTGACCAATCTGTGTGTGAAATCACTCCCTGCCTGGGCTTGTCAGGAAGCACTGGGGGCAAGAAGTGACAGACAAGAAAAAAAGATCCCATATCTTAAGATAGAAGTGGACCAAATAATTTGCTGAGCAAGCGATTGAAGTCCCTGAATGCCAGTGGGATATATTGAGAGGATCAATGGTAGGCAATCAGAGTTTCAGAGGATAAACTCTTTCTGACAAAGCCCAGAATGCAAACAAACATAAAAACAGCAACATGGTAAACAACTGATGAGGGGGTCAGTCACAGCAAACCCCCTAAAAACAGAGGGGGTCACACAGGACATGGGTTGGGGCCAAAACATTCCAGGCTGATGCTGTTGATCTGGTCTGGGAAATGACTGAGCAAACAGCAGCCAGAGTGGCTTCCCCTTACTGGCACCAGGGCTTTGTCCTAACTAATCCACCCCACAGAGCCACAATCAAACACCCAGCACCATACAGTTCCCCAGTGACAACACAGCGGGGTCTGGGGGGGGCATGAAACAAATCCCACTATCCCAAGTTAGAAGACAGGCACCAGTTTCCTCGTTAGATTTAAGCACAGGAAACAGTATGGCTTAGACATAGGTCTAAGTGCTTCACAGCAAACTGAAGTTATTTTACTGAGATATGCAATACTCCTTTAGAAAGGGAGAGAGACCATTTACAGAAAAGGTATTATGGTGCATTATACAAGCTGTTACTTAAACACTTCTAAGTATTTCTGTCAAGATGTTGGGACAAATAATTAGAAAATTGAACAATGCAGATATTAGCTGCAGGAGAAGAAAAAAAAGTGTATCCACTCCTGCACAGCAAGCTGTGGAAGCAAATTGATGCATTGACCCGATGACAATAGTACAGTGGTTCCTGTGGCTGTCAATAATAATCTCCTAATCTCGGTTCTATCATCCTCTAAAGGGCAAACATCTGGAAACAGTAAATCATCATCATCTCTGGGAAATGCAGTTACCCAAAATGTACTCATTCAAATGAAGCATTCTCTTCATAATAAACACTAATAAAAGCTGTGGAAATGTAAACATTAAGTCAATAAAGCTGAAAATGCAGGGGAACCCAAACATAATTTCAAGTGTACAGAAAGCCGCACATCTGCAAATGTAATACTGTGATACTGAATTGATCGTTAGAGGAGAAAAATGTACATTTAGTAAGGCATAGGTACAGTCTGAGGAGAAAAAAAGGACATTACATACCAGCTGAAACTAAGAGGTGTGGCAACCGAATATGGAGTATGGGGTATGAAAGCAAAGCAGGAAGTTACTCACTTGTCGTATTCTGCATTGTCTTTGTCACAGCGTGCATCCTTGTGCTTCTGCCAGTCCTTCCCATGCTTACAGGTGGTGAGGAGGACCACGTCCTCCGAGTTATGTACGTGATATAAAGCATTCCTAGTGTCCGAACCGATTCCAGTCAGGTACCTCTTCCCCTTGAAAACAAGCATGTACTTCCTGAAAGGGGGGATTGTGTTGTGTTTCAGATAACCCCTCTCCCCTCCAATTCTATGGTGGTCTTTAGAAAAAAGAGGGATGGAGACATCAAAGTTAGGCCTAAAGTTCTCTGTGCTGATGCTGGCCTTGGCCAGCATGGCGAGGCCAATGTCAAAGCCAAGATCTTCCGTGTAATCTGGCCAAGTGCCAGAGTATAAGTTAAAGATGATGTGATTTTTGCCTTCATTCCAGAGAGGAAGATTTTGGATTTTTGCTTTCAGGTTGTGCACATATTGAGGTGAAAGTTGGTCCCGATCCAGTGTGTCCAAACTCAGGACAAACAGGCATGCAAGTCCTGGGTCAGGAGTAAAGAACCTGGACCCTTCAATAGAGGACAAAATGTTCAGATAACTCTCGGAGATCTTTTCTCCTTTCTGCTGGGGATACACGTAAACTTTAAATCCATTCCTCTCACACAGGGAGAAGTCAAAACAGGACTCCATTCTGCAGCGTTTTCCAGTGTAAAGGCCTGAGTTAATGTCCCTCTTCTGTCTGGGAGATATGTGTGGGTTGAGATCATTGCTGTGGTCCTTCTCCCAGGTGCTAAAGGGCTGCAGGAACCCCGGCACGCGCCGCCACCGCGCCCCGGGGTGATAACCGGCCAGGCTGCGGTCATCACGCCGGTTAGAGCCCCGCTTGGACAGCGGGACTTGTATCCCCCCGAAACAGAAAAGTAGAATGACACAGGCACCGGCGGAGAACAGGATTAAATACCGTTTTTTGGCCTGCATGTGTCCAACGATCTGAGTTCAAGTATGTGGCGATGAATGGAAGAAGTCCCGAAGTTTTGATCTCACCACCTCCTGTGGGAACCTTCCGCCATCTTCCCCTGGGCTGCAAGGGCTGTGCGCTCGCGTCTCCCTCCTTCTGCTTCAGATGCCTTTCACAAGTCCGGGAACTGATCCAACGCATGTGGGCGATTTTTAATGTTCATCCACCTCGTCTCCTCGTCAGTTGTGGTACTGCCTAACTTCAAACAGCTTTTGCGAAACCACAGAGCGACACTACACAATCAAATCTGGGCATCTCAAGTCGCACCCTACTTTTCTTTGTATAACACCACCTTTGCTCAGCAAAAAAATGGTCATGTCAGCACAGTCTATTCATCTCTGTCTATCGAAAACCAAAGAATAACTACTAACAGGACACAACATACATAATCAAGCCACGCTGGAGCAACAGTAAGTGTCAGACTTGTTGCCTGGACAGTAAACTATCCCTACTACACAGTCCCCACTGATTATGAACGGAACGGGAACCGGGGAGCTAAAACATTCAACACAGTGTCACGTTGCCTCGCTATACTAATTCACTCCATTGAAAGGCAACACACAACTGATAAGCCAAAGCAAAAACAATTCAACGGCCGCCTCAACTAGCCTGCTAGCAAGCTAACTAACTAGCCAGTTTCTGAAAACATTTCCAGTTAGCTTGTTAGCTGCGCGGTCGCATCTTACAGGGCTTTGCCGTTGACTGGAAATAAAACCAGCCCAACAATTTCCCCTTCCTCCTTAAAACAGTCGTTTTACTCGTCTACAACTTGTCCTTCGCTATTCTCTTGAAACGGTCGGACAAAAATCTTAGAGAATACCTCCTGTCGTATAAAGTGCTGAAGTGGTGGCTCAAATACACAAACAAGAGTGCCGTAGGAACGCTAAGCCGAGCGGAGCCTCACGGCCGGGCCGTCCCACCACTACGACCACTGCTGATGATGTGCGGTTCCTCCACGGCGCACGCGGCCTTACCATTGGTTCACGTCACATCCCCAGGTGGGCGGGGCTTACAATGCACCCATTCACTTCCAAAGAAAACCGAGTCAGTGGCGGAAACGCACAGCGTCCACTGAGCATATGTTCAAATTAGAACCTTTACTGTGTCTATTTTATTTGTTGCACAAGTTTCTTGTACTTTGAATTCTGTTGTATGGCTTTCCTATTTTTTTCCTGAAAACCTCCGTAAGAGCTGGCATTTATTTATGAATTAACCCTGTAACACTGTAATAATGTATGATATGATATGTAAAGTTTGAAATCAAACTTTTAATATTTAGCAGTTCACATACTGGGATTGGTCACTGTCTTGTCACTTAAGTTGAGAGTTATGATTTGTACTTTTAATTTTCTTGTCTTGTTAGGTAGGTAAATATTAAAGGTGGCCACAAAAACAAATAACCAAATGCTGTAAAAAAAAAAAAAAAAAAAAAAGAGAGAGAGAGAGTGGGGAGGTTGACAAAATGATCCTATCTCAAGAAATTTCAAAGCAGTTGCATAAAAACTGCAAGACGGTTATAACAACATACCTACTTTAATTGTAAGTGTAAAGCTGTAGGTTAACTGATCAAATGTTTACAGTAAAAAAGGACATTACATGGTTACATTCTCATTGAGTCCCATTAAGTAAGTTGTTGGTTAACTTTTAAAGATTTATTATTTAATTTAACTGTGCAGGGAGTAGTGGACTATGTCTTTAAGAGGTAGTATGTACAGGTCTGCATTAAAAAGCTATTTATGATATGAAATAGAGAGGGCAAAATATAGTAAAAAAACAAACAAAATCTGGTCTGCATGTAAATTTGCAGTCGGATTGGATGTGTACAATATGTAAGCTTTCACCTCTTGTTTCTATTGTTGTGCATGTTCATTTCAAACCAAAGGCTTCTATCTCTAGAGAGTGGAACTCAACCTTCCAGTTTGTCGCCTTCAAAATGCCTCCACACTACTGAAATATTTGTCTGCTCAATGCCAGAGAGACAGCCACAAAGCATCGGCCTGCCTGACATACTACTCGCTGTACATGCTGTTATCTACATCAGGTCAAAAAAGTTTGGTAGAATTCAGTCAGCGGCGGTACTAAGACAATACCAGCAGGAAGCTGTGTAACCCCTGGAGCATATGCAAAGCAATTTACATACCTTGACAAACGCTTTCCCCAAAAAGATTTCCGACTGGGTAGGCCGATCTGTTTACAACCCTTTCCTTTGTCTTCTGTCACATTCACGTGCCTCAGTCAAGTGCATGGTCCAAAAAGCTGTACAGGAAAACAGTTAACATTAGCTTCTCCCATTTATTTGCATGTGTGCTTCAACAAGGCAGAAATGGCACATAGGATATAGAATGTTCAATTTATTTTCCAAAAGCACACAATTGTAAATAAATACAGTGGAATTGTGTTCACAAATTGTCGCTCCTCTCTAACAAAGTTTGTGTTTTGTAAATGTGGTGGCATCAAACAACAGTACTTCTAAAGGTAATGCTGATGTAGCAAATTAGACATAATATATTTTCTCATGCAGTCTCCAGGGTTGGACCCTGGTCAACAGAGTTTTATAAGCTGAAAAATCCATAATGCTTTTTTAGATCACTCCAGTGGTTCAAATGCAGATCTATTCTTCCTTGGTTCGCATTCATCCACCTGAAGTGACCTTAAGCACAAGTGTCCTTGATCAAAACACGTGATCTCTAAGCTAGCATTTGATCCATCCGTTGGGTGTTAAACAAAAAGCGTACTGCTAAGACAAACACACAAATTTAATCTTCAATAGAAACCAAACGTGAGGAAGAAAACACCTTTTGGATGAAATGAAAGAGACCTGTCAATAGCAGGAGTTGAACTACAAAATGAGAGCCGACAGAGACATGGTAATACAGCGCACAGCTCTTTGCTGGCATGAAGAAAGACAGGATGTGTTCTCCCCGCTGCTGTAGTCTTTTTCTGTAGTGTTAAAAAGAGCAACGGGGAATGTTAAGCTATGTTCCACAGGAGCTCTGCACCAGCTCGCTGCTCTGCCTCAGTATCCCATGGACCGCTGATCAAAGACAGAGGGGGTGGGGACCACCTCCTCACTCTCCCTACCTCCTCCCCCTTTTGTCTTTTTTTTTGTCCTCTGTCCATTTCAGTGTCCCCACAATAGCCTTTTTCTTGTCCCACTTTCCCTGTCATTCCTTTCTCCGTTATCTGGCATCATTTCCACCCCCCCCCTTTCTGCCTTTTAACTGGGAGTGGGGGTGATGATGGCTGATAAGAAGAGCTAGATGCTCCTCAGTGTCTGCCATTTGGAGGATCTAATATGTCCTCTTTATACGTCAGCTCATTTTAAGTCAAACTCTTAATTGCTTTAAACACGTTAGACTGTGACAGTCCCTCACCCCACTGGGGTGGGACTTTGCTCTCTGTGGGCCTCACTGGATGCCTCGCATCTAAACGAGCAAGATAAGAGAGAAAGGACAAATCGGCAATTTTATACACAATTTGATTCCAAAGTAGGGGGAAAAATGCATTTAAAATGCATTGATGATTTCCTTTTGTCCAACAATCATGTGCGCTGTAAAGAGAGCGCGGAGGTGCTGTCCCCCCTGCTGGGGCATTGTGTTTACTGAGATGAGCAGTGGCCAGATTTAGAGCAGCGGGGTGGCTGAGCCTGAGCGGTATTCCTACTGAGCAACACATGCAATCATGCCAATATCTAATTTGGATGCACCCGGGTGCACAGTTTTCCCAGTCAGCCTGCCAAGCAACTAAACAGCCAAATGGAGATTTATCATTTCCGTCTGAGTACGTTGTGAGACGATGAGTACAAGTTTGTCAATAACTGTTATGTACTGCAGCTTTCGTGGGAAATAATTCTATCCCCATGCTACGGTAACTGGAAAAAGTCATCAGTGGCATTCGGGGAGCCCTGCAGATGCAGGCATGGCGACACATGTGTGGCTGTGTAATTGCTGTGTGCACGTGCAAGCCTCTTTAATGTAGAGCGCAGCGTTGGATGGGAATTTATGCTCCCCTCCTCAGAGAGGCAGCCTTGGCGAAGAGCCTCATCCATCTGTGTTGACACTGAAATGTACGAATCACATCTGAGCCCCATCAACATGGAAAGTAGAAATGAAGGTTTCATGAGACAAACGCATGTGTCTGGAAGCAGAAACCGCCAGTGCAATTTTCCTCAAGGATTCAAGCGGAGGGCTGCTATGTATTTTGTTTTTCAGTGGAAATCACTGTGCTCTGTGCACGCTGGTTGGTTGAAAACATATATTTGCAACAGAAAATGATGCAGTCGGTGTCTAATGTGATAGTTCTGCAGAGTTTTGAGAGGCGATGAGTCGAGTCTATTTGAAAAAAGTCATTGACTTTTGTGGAAACGAATACTGAATCATCCATGCCAGGGTATCAGTAAAAATAATAGAACAAAATTGAATATACAGGACTATATTAAAAAAAGAACTCTGCTCCAAAGAGAAGACTTTAAAACAGTTGGCATAGAACTTTTTGTATTTTGGTACGCTGAACAGTTTTCCCTTAAAAAAAAAGATGTAAATTAGACATGAAGAAAAAAGAAGCCTGAGGATTACAGAACAGAAATAATTTATCAGACAGCACACGCCAAGCTCAAAGCTCTCTACCTTCCTGACAAACACACAGTGGCACACAACAACTGCACAAGGCCAGTCTTTGTGTCCGTAAAAGAACGTGCTCTTTAAATTCAGTTGAAATTCTCTGTTGGAGAGCAAACCATGTTCAATATTGTGTGACGGTCTTTAAGTGTCTTAGACGTTTGAGCCGGGACAAAACAGTTGACTGGCAGCCATACAAAAAAGATAACATCTAACACAAAACGACAAAACTTTGGCTGATTCCAATCATCTCTTAAGAGCCAATAAAAAAATCACTATGAAGCGCTTGGCTTTGAAAGAGACAGGCTTTCTGTTGGTTTACAATTTGTGAAATTAATGTGAAGTAAAATCTTTCGGTTTTTACAACAAAACATGAATTCTCTCTTCTTTTTTAGTGCAAGAATTCTGACCAAATATTACATTTTTGTACTGAAATTTTAAACTTTTAAATTTGTATTCAGTTCCTCCTGTGTTTATATGGATTGATAATGTACTCATTTTTTCTTTTTTTTTCTTTTTACTAAATTCATGATGTCCACTTGCTGTTTTTGTAAGGTCAGGCAGCTTTGTATAGACCAACAAGCTGGAACCCCCCCCAACAGATGGATTTTTTAGGATCAAAGTTGGTTAGAATACAATAATACTTAGGTCAGAATTAGGTTTTCAGCAGGGACGTTAGGGTTAGCGTGAGTTATGGCTATAGACGTAGGTGAGGGTTAGGGAATTTCATATATTACGGGTCGCTATAAAGATTGTGCACCTTAATTTGTATGCATCGTAATGTGTGTGAACATCTGCGCCACAGAGCAGGGATCAGGTTCAATTACATGACAACTTTTAGCTCTCTGGAGACCTAAAAGCCATTTATATGCTAATACATGTGACAGTGGTAATGAGTTGCAATAAAAAAGACATCTGGTGTTTGATGGAATCCGATATTAAAGCGTTACCACAATCAGCCTTTGCTATTTATCTTGAAACCACTTGTTAGCCCCGTAAGTCTGTTTGGGAAGTGTTTTGACATCTCGCGCTGGTAATGTGAAAGCCCCTTTCTCGTCCGGTGCAATGTGTGTTTCAGTTCTAGAAAGTGACATTCCAAATGCACTTATCTAACTGTGAAGTCAAGCGGTGTCAGTCACACCCAGAAAGATGACAAAGTTAGTAAGTTATAGTGTGTAATATTTAGACTTGAGCCTCATTAAAAGAGACACCCATTTGTATGCTGGCCAATATGGAGACACACAGGGGTGGGTTATGGGTCCTCACACGAAGAGGGAAGCCTGCTGTGAGCAGCACTCACTTCAAGGGCCGGAAAGAGATCAATGTGTGAGAACAGCAATAGGACTGGACTACAAATTGAACAGCCCTTAATCACCCCACACAGTTCTCAGGGGTGTGAAAGTTCCAACCATGAAAAGGTTTAATCACAAGTCAAGCTGAATAGAGTCAGCCTGCTACTAATAAAGGGCAGACGGGGCCGAGGGGGACAGATGCACGCACACGTGTGGGCGCGTGTTGTTGCACTCACACTTTAAGTAATGACAGCGTGTGTTTCTGCACCTTTCCCTACACAAAAATGCAAAGGCTTTCCATTTTTCTCCCCTGTAGCTCTTAAAAAAACATATACAAACATCCAGTCACTTGTAATTGAGACATGCTCAAATTGTTATCCAAAATGACTATTGTTGTGAGGCATCAGACACATAAATCTAAGTGGCTAAATGTTCAATTATACGATTTTTCAGTATGACGATGAAATCACAATTTTCTGATCCTGATCTCGATTGCAAAGTAGGTAGAATGACCGCAGATGAACAGCAGATGTCACGTTACATTGTATCATTTAATTCGTCAACAGAAACTAAAATGTAAAAGCAGAGTGTGGAAAACCTAAATGCAGTTTTACTGCCTCCAGTAGAGTTTAAAGAGTAATCATCAGCCAAGATGCTGCTAAGTAAATACGTTTGATTAATGTCATCGTTAAGGAAGCACACCTCTGTGAAAGAAGCAGTATTGGAGGGTTGTTGGTCTGGAACATTTAGGTGTGTCTCAGGGGCACATTAACTATCAATTCATTATTTCTGCCTATCAATCTGGAAAGCTTGTATGACCGTTTACCAAATAATTTATCCTTCTCTTTACAGCAAGGTGAAGTAGGCTCAGGTTGTAAAGAATTTAACAGTTGCCAGTTATCTCAGGAGTACACAATGTCTCGTGGGGGGAATAAAGCAAACTGAGCTATCTTCTGGAGCAATGAGGTGATGCAGTTATTGAGCTGATGGTGGACTCCTTTGTGCTTGTGAGCATTCTAATGAAACACTACTATATTTTACATGTTTATTATGTAATAATACACAATACCGTGAAATTCAATGAGGGTCTATAGTATGTCACAGACAATTTGATCTTTTGTCTTCCGAATCAGGGGACTGAGTAATCTGGATTACTGAGAAAATAATATATCAGTAGTTGCCTTGGCCGCTGTATCACAGTGAGCTCTGTCAGTGCATCTAATGGACAAAGACCGGAGGGCCATTTCTTCTCTCTTCAGTTGATGACTAAGTTAATACTCACCAGGAACTTGGAATGCTCCACTACAGCATACGACTGCACTGCCGATGTGTAAATCTGCCGTAGCCTACCAGAAAATGCACACAGGTCACCCCAAACACTGCAGAAAGATACGCCTCTCCAAAAATCTGTTCAGATGACCAGACAGAGACACCCCGAACAGAAATAGGGTCAGCACAGGTGTTCAGTATGACACCTCGTTGTGTGAGCCTTTCTCAATGCTTTAACACTAGTGTTGTGGAAGCGTGGCTGACCCAAGAGCTGCAGAGAGGGTCACCTTGGCGTGGTGATAAACAGGTCATAAATACACCGGCCACAGCGACACAGTGTGTATTTTGTTGGCATGCAGGTCAATAAGGAGGCGAGCTATGAATCTAAATGTGCATCTGTCCCTTCTCGTCTCCCATTAAAGATAAAAACGCATTGAAATAAAGGTGATTCAAAGCTGTGGTTGAGATGCATGGTACAGTGGAAGGTTAAGATGAGTTTCCCTTCCCATATTTCACTATGTCCATGCATTTCTCGGACAATCACCGCTCTGCACCGTTCAGTAGAGTCACATGTTGAATGCAACGAACATGAGTCAGTGCTGCCGCCCAAATCACTTTTACCAATTTCTACCACATGAAAGCTGAATAAGGAGGTCTTCTGTGGCACACAGAGACATCATCTGGAAAAAAAATAATTGAGCTCAAACCATGCTCTGTCACAGAGAAAGATAACAGGTCAAACAAACAGCTCCCACCATATGGCTGTCATTAACCTCAGCCTCATACAGCTTAGAAGAGGTGGCTGCCAGCATGTGAGAATTATTGCCAATGAAGCAGCAGTTCAATCAAAATCTGAAGGCAACATGGGAGCTTTTGCCCACTCATCATTGCTTCCACATACTGCTCGCAGCCATGTTAGGAGCCGTATGTGGCACATCTGCTACGGATATTATTTCTCCTTCCAAACTGGTATTCATTGACATCAAATAATCAGTGGTTTTGTTGTCACATTAAAGTTCAGCGCAAAGGCTTCCAAGGGAAAATATTGTGATTATTTTTAGTTGATCTTCTGCTCCCTGTGGTTTTACCTATCAGAGAGTTGGTTTAATTTGAGTTAAGGCTTGACTCTGTAAATCACTGCATCCCAGGGAAGCAGCCAGGCATCTGAATACAGAGACGGTTGGTACGGTGGAGAAAAGCTGCAGTGAGAGAGAGCCGTGGTTTAGTGGATCTCTGTCGCCACCTACAGAAACATGCACGCACAGCAGAGCAGCAGAGGAGACGAGACAGACACACATTTAACAGAGAGACCCTTGTGGGAAGAAATATTCAGTGTGCACATCACACGAGGATACTTATTAGCTGGCAACTTCATGTAAGGATGCAATAGTGAAGCTTAATAAATACGAACTGCTGAGTTGCAGAACTTTCACGGACAGGTCAAATCGCTCGCAAGTTGCTTTTCACCGGCGAGCGCCGAGCAGTGAATCCAACGCACCCTACAGCCGCAGTCATGTGGTTGGTCATGAGGAAGTAAATAGGGAAGAGGAGTTCCAAACAGGCAAGTACTTGCATCTACAAACTCGACTTCTAAACGTGTTCACTTGAAACGTCCAAGAGTTTTTAAAAGGCGTAAGAAGTATGAACATATCCACCTTCACGCGCACATCCGTGGGGTCCATAGCATCATGGGTAATGAAGGGAGAAGGAGCTCTCAAGCTAACGTTAGCCTGTCGGTAGCAGCAGACTTAAGCTACCTGGAATTACTTAGAAGTGCTAAAACCAAACATAAAACAACACGTCATTTAGCATAAAACTTGTCGATATGTAAATGTCCGGTAATATTTATTTACTGGACTTAACTGGTTGGGTTCGAAGTTAAACTAAATAAAAAAAAATTAAAAATCTAAAAAACGTTGTTATTCATCATATGAAATTGCTAATCAGCAAAGCCTGATGACTATGAAATATTTTATTTTTAACCTAAGAAAACAAACGGTGCTCCTTATGTAGTGCCTAAAGCTCAATTTGCTCCAACAGACCAGAAATGTAACTGTGTACAGAGGTGCTTACTTTGTTTTTAATCCAGATTAGGACTAGGCCGAAAATTAACTATTTTATTTGTACTATTTCTTTTAAATATAATGCATGTAATCAGATTATGTTGTATACCTTGATCTAATCTAAGGCAGTTGTGAATGCTGAGGATTTATCCTGCTCCTCTTGGCACCGCTCCACCTCCACCTCCACCTTTCCCTCTGAACTTGTCAGCAATAAACTGAACTGCACTTATTGCATGTTCGCTTCATTGGTGTAAAAACTCCACGGAAAGGTGTCATAACAGCCCAGCCAGACATTTCTTGCTTTCGTCTTTTTCATTTCTGCGTCAAGTGACGCTTAACTGTCACATTTGATAAATTCAGTGTCCCTGAAAGAGCTTCTTTCATCATGCAGCGGTGCATTGATCAACTAAGGAAGTCCTTCTTCTTAAGTCCTTGTTTGCACATTCATTATTTGTGCTTTCTTGGATGGTAAAACAAAAACCTGAAGGGTCCTAATTTCATTGCAGTCTTCTAAAAAAGAAACAACCTTAAAGCATTGTCAGTTTGGCATGGAGTTTAAACTAAATATTTAGTCCAATTTGTTTTGAATACCAGCATCTATAATCTTTTTCCCCTCGGCCTTGAAATCCCAGTTAATGAATTTTGGATCATATCGCCCGGCACTAGTCCATATGGCCACTGATGATAAAACAGTTTCTTTGTTTTAGGTTTTTTTTCCTGAACTAGCCACCAGGCGTGCATTATGTAAATGTGTCACATGCTAATGCAGATAAATGAGGAAAGTAAAAGCCCGGCAGTTTAGAAACATTTTTTTATGATTTTTTTTCGTATTCGGTCTGAGGAAAAGATTAAAGTCTGCAAGCTCTGGTGTAGACTTTAGACTTGTAACTTTTTAGAGCTTTTTCATGTTTCAAAAACAGTTTTTATCACAGGGAAAAATACAAAATGGCAGAATGCTGAATGTTCTTCATAATCTGTTCTGTTCTAACCTATTTTGACACAAATGATTTGTAACCTTCAGACCATTCGTTGTTTTAAAGCATTCAGTACTTTCATTCTTTTGTTATTTTCTAGGATTATCTGAAGTATTGGCTACACAAACACAGTGTGAGAGTGTTGCATACCCTCCTCTCCACACTGCAGACACTATGGTGGACTTCCTGGCAGAGAATAACCTGTGTGGCCAGGCCATCCTCAGGATAGTGTCCAGGGGAAATGCCATTATTGCAGAGCTCCTGCGCCTCTCTGACTTCATCCCGGCAGTTTTTAGGCTGAAGGACAAAAGTGATCAACAGAAGTATGGAGACATAATCTGTGACTTCAGCTACTTCAAGGTATAAAACACACTTGTGCTGCCTATCTAAATCCTGGCATGTTGGCCTGTTTAAGTATCTGTGGTCTTCATCTTACATTACTTTGGCTGCGTGGTCAGTTTATTAGGTTTAAAAGAATTTGATGGTGGGAATTTTCTCCAAGATAATCCCGTTTGTGTGATTATTTCCCATCATGAAATAAACAAGTATCGATTGCAATTGTAAGGGGTTTAATGTTGGTTTCTCGCCAGGGCCCTGAGTATTATGATGGCAAGCTGGAAGCCAAACCGGAGCTTCAGGACTTGGATGAAGAGTTCCGAGAGAACAACATTGAAATTCTGTCGAGGTTCTATCTGGCTTTTGAGAGCGTACATAAATATATCGTGGATCTAAACAGGTACAAAAGAGTGGGGTTTTGGCTCTGATTATTTTTGGAAGGCTGAGGCTTAAACCTGAGGCACACGCTTTACTGTCCCACCGAACACAGTGAAAGGAACTAATATAAGATTTTGCATTGCTTTTGTGTCTCTCCAGGTATCTGGATGACCTATATGAGGGGGTTTATATTCAACAGACCTTGGAGACGGTGCTTCTAAACGAGGATGGGAAACAGCTCCTTGTTAGTAACACAACTGCTTATATGATAACCATAACAACAGAAGCCTGATTGACTTCTGATGGGTTTCTACAAACATCTGCATCCTTATCACTGATTTGTAGATGAATAAGCATACATTGTTTAGAAAATTACATAAAGAAGCTGAGTGAGAACAGATTACAAAAGCTGAATTTGTGTGTTTTTTATTCCCCCCAGTGTGAGGCTCTCTACCTGTATGGAGTCATGTTGTTGGTTATCGACCAGAAAATTGAAGGAGAAGTCAGAGAGAGGATGCTTGTTTCCTACTATAGATACAGGTGCGCTGATGACTCACACACACACCCTCACACAGACGTGACATTCTCTCTGTGTGAATCATGCTCGCTGTTCCAAGTTGAATTGTTACCCCATGGGCTCGTGCGCAGCAAAAGTTGAGTCACTTGACTCATAGTTATATTCTTCCCTTTGCTGGTTGCACAGGGGAAGAAGCTAAATCAAATCTGCACAATAAGTTTCGTGACACATTTTGGAAAAAGAATCAACTTTTTGCGAACGCTTTGCAAATGCTCTAAAGTAAATACGGATATATTATCATACATTTAATGTTTCTTCTCTTTTTTGGTGTCTTTAGTGCGGCCCGCTCATCGGGTGACTCCAACCTGGATGACATCTGCAAGCTCCTGCGCAGCACCGGCTACTCCAGTCAGCCCGGAGCGAAGCGGCCTGCCAACTACCCAGAGAGCTACTTCCAAAGGGTTCCCATCAGTTCCACGTTCATCAGCATGGTCATTGGGAGGCTGCGCTCCGACGACATCTACAACCAAGTGAGAAATATTTACTAAAAACAAACATTGTTGCAGATTTGTGCATGCAACAGTGATTTTGCTCTCATTTACAAGAGTATGAGACCATGACCTGCGTGGGGGGGGGGCGCCCACCGTGGCCTAAAACTGTCCTTTCCCCGCCCAGGTGTCAGCCTACCCTCTGCCTGAGCATCGCAGCACAGCGCTGGCTAACCAGGCAGCCATGCTCTACGTGTGCCTGTTCTTCAGTCCCTCCATACTGCACACACAGCAGGCCAAGATGAGGGAAATAGTAGACAAGTACTTCCCTGATAACTGGGTGAGGTGCTTTGCTCGGTCATTCTGGTTCATAAGAGCTACGAGAAAACCGCTGAATGAAGACTTATGGCGTTCACTGTCCACTCTGTAACATGTTGTGTCTCAGTTGTGTTTTTGGAATGTTGTAATGAAGTCTTCATGCTGTCTGGATGCAGGTTATCAGTATCTACATGGGAATCGCAGTCAACCTGTTAGAGGCCTGGGAGCCGTACAAAGCTGCCAAGACAGCGCTCAACTACACCTTAGACTCTGCAAACATCAAAGAGCAGGTATTAAAAATGTATCGCACCCAATGTCACACAGTTTTTCGATTCTTCGGCTGACAGCCCTTCGGTGTGTTAATGCTAATTTATGGCAATGTTAATGTATGCAGGGACAAGTGACTGTGCCCACTGAATTTGTAAGTCATCAGTTTTAGCTGAGCAGAATATAAATGCAGAGCACAAGGCTGTGGAGCAAAATCTGAACTCTTTTCAATAAAGAGATTGAAGAAAGTGGTGGATGGAAGTGTGGATGCTGACTAAGGATCCAACTGAATTGCCCCTTATTTTGCAGCCACCTTCCATCCGTGCCATTGATCTCAGTGGCTGCTAGAAGGAGTTATTGAATGAAAAGTCTGTTGCACGGAATGAATCTTCCCGTGTTTTCACCACTGTTACCGTATGCTGTGTGAAGGCCACTCGCTATGGAGCCAGTATGGACAGCCTGAGGCCTCAGGTGCAGCAGCTGCTGAAGGAAGGTTTCCTCAGGGAGGAAATCATCCTGGACAACATTCCCAAACTGCTCAACTGTCTGAGGGACTGCAACGTGGCTATCCGCTGGCTGATGCTGCACTCCGCAGAGTCTGGTGAGAAGAGCAGGCAGATTGGTACTAAACACAGGGATGGAGCTGAAAGATTAACAGGGCACAAATGTGCCATTGTGTTGTATCAGTAGACATCTGAATAAGTCACAGGAGCGTAAGTGGTCAGATAAATTAGTCACATGTTCACATCTCCAGTTAACCCACATTTCCAATTGATATGGACGAAAATACATGTATTTCTCACCAAAATATTTGTTTCACAAGCCTATGATCCAAACAACAAGAGACTGCGTCAGATCAAGGACCAGGTGCTCAACGACTCCAAGTACAACCCCAAAATCCTGTTCCAGCTGCTGCTGGACACTGCACAGTTTGAGTTCACACTCAAGGAGGTGAGAGTCTGTCCTCAAAATACCCCCAAAACAAAAATGTTTGTTTTTCAGACGAAAACTGAGGACCGGTAATAGAATACCAGAATAATTCCAGAGTGATCTACCAAACAGTTTTTCATGTTTGATGTGCCTGCCAATTTTGCCCCACCGGCTTACAGTGAGATAGCATATGGCTAGCCGAGCTATCAGTGGGAAAGGATACACATTTAATGCTCTAATTACACATCTCATCTGACTAATCCCCTCTCATCGACTAAGCAGCTGTGCTGTCCCTCCTCCAGATGTTCAAGCAGATGCTATCAGAGAAACAGATCAAATGGGAGAGCTACAAGAAGGAGGGATCTGAGCGGATGACTGAGCTGGCGGAAGTTTTTTCTGGCGTCAAGCCTCTGACGAGGGTGGAGAAAAACGGTGAGTTGCTCTGGTCTTTTGGACAAATCTATAAAGGACCCCCCCCCACACACACACACACACACACACCTCAATAGATTTACCTTTTCCTCCCTCATTTTCAATTCTGTGTGTTTCCCCACAGAGAACTTGCAGGCGTGGTTTAGGGAAATCTCCAAACAGATTGAGTCTTTGAACTACGAGGACTCGACGGCTGCTGGGAGGAAAACGGTTCAGCTCATACAGGCTCTTGTTGAGGTGAACAGGATAATTACATGCCACCGTGGCTTCAAATCTTCAGATTGAATCAGGAAAAGATAACGGCGTCAGTGTCCTGCTGTTATGGCGCGATGATGATATGCTAGCCTCAAACAGAGATAACAAAATAAACCCAAGAACAATGTTTCAAACCAGAGACTGAACTCAATGTTACTGCTCCCACAGTAAAAAACTAAGTGAAAAGATCATTTGGAATGCTCTGCAGTCCTTAGATATATGATTGCGGAGTATTCTGTACATTTATGTCTGGGTATCATTTGTTTCCTTTTGGCCTTTAGGTCCAGGAATTTCACCAGCTGGAGTCCAACCTGCAGGTCTGTCAATTCTTAGCCGACACCAGGAAATTCCTGCACCAGATGATCCGAACCATCAACATCAAGGAAGAAGTTCTCATCACCATGCAGATAGTTGGAGATCTCTCCTATGCATGGCAAATAATTGACAGGTACTTCGTTAAACAGTGAATATGTTTGAAATAACTGACAGTGAATAATTACATATCTTTATAATGTGTATTTATGTCTGTTTATTATTAGTGTTCCTTACTTGAGAATAACACTTGCCATAGTTTTTAACTGGTGTTTTTTTTCCCCTTACATATTTTCAGGCTACATTAACTCAGTCTCTTTAGCTACCAGTAGCACAAACAGTGAAACCACCAGTGTACAGCGATTTCTTTGACTTTGATTCAACTCATTTTTGTCCTTGTTTTGTCTGCGTGGCAGATTTCATCAGTCTTTTCCTGGCTCATGTTTTATTCTACAGCTTCACATCCATTATGCAGGAGAGCATCAGAGTCAACCCGTCCATGGTCACAAAACTGAGAGCTACATTTCTGAAGGTGAGGACCACTTTTGTCCCGCGCCTCCGTGCACACGTTCTATAATGACAACTAATGAAATATTCACACAGCGCTGCCTGGATTTGTGTTTGTTGGAAATACTTATTCTGTGGGTGTGTTTATGCGACCAGCTGGCATCTGCCCTGGATCTTCCTCTGCTGCGGATCAACCAGGCCAACAGTGCCGACCTGCTGAGTGTCTCCCAGTTCTACTCTGGAGAGCTGGTGGCTTATGTCAGAAAGGTACTCTGTTGACACAGAATTGTTCATTTTGGTTTGGAAATGTTTTTGTCACAGATGATTTATTTTCTCTGTGATACTGGGGGATGAACATGGTTACATAATTAGAACAAATGGGCCCTACAAGTTCCAAATGATTGTTTGGGATCCACACTGTAACATCTGTGGCAGTGATAAATGTTTCTCAAACCATCTGGCATCTGGTATTTGGCAAATGTGCCCAAAAGGAAACACTTAGCGGCTGTGAACCTTGAAAGGGATTTTACCTTCTGTTTTCATCAGCCACATTCTGTGTCTCTGCATGCTAGACTTGTTCCCTCTAGCTGTACACATGATTGCTTTTTCCAATGCATTCTGTTCCATCTGCCTTTTGGTAAACTGATTTATGTTGGCTAAAGAGCCCTTTACATCCATTTTATTCATGCTTATGATCAGTCGCTTATTTACCATTCTTATTTCTAGGTGCTTCAAATCATCCCGGAGAGCATGTTCACCTCTCTGGCCAAAATAATCAAACTTCAAATCCACGACATCATGGAGGTGCCCACGCGGCTGGATAAGGACAAGCTGAAGGATTTCTCCCAGCTGGGGGCCCGCTATGAGGTGAAACCCCAGCTGTGCCTAAAACTAAGTTTGTATGAGGATTCATCTGTTGGATGTCTGTCTGAAGCTGTTGAATTCTCACCTGCAGCTTACGATGTGAAACAGAACTTAGAAATAGGTTTTATGTGGGGGGAGATTGTGCCAGCAGGCTGGCTTAAGTGGCTGAAAACATGGAATTCTATTTGCTAACATCCCACACATCTCTCTCCTTTATGTGACCACAGGTGGCAAAATTCACTCATGATATCTCTATTTTTACTGAGGGCATCTTAATGATGAAGACTACTCTCGTCGGGATCATTAAGGTGAATGCTGTCTATTTTAGATGTTTGCAGACCAATAAAACCTACTTGTTGTTGTGGAACACATGCCGGAGGAAAACAGTTTGCTTTATCGACATGCTGTATCTGTTTTAGGTGGATCCTAAGCAGCTTTTGGAGGACGGCATCAGGAAGGAGCTGGTGAAAAGGGTGGCTTATGCATTGCACAAAGGCTTAATCTTCAACCCCAAGGCTAAGGCGAGACATTCAAATCTGTTACCATCTGATAGCTGCATATTTTTGCATTTTATAGTGTTATCAGTTTTGAGTTGTGTTTTATGATATATTTAGGGTGTATCAAATCTGATTACAGATATTGTGAGATAAATGCTCCCTCAAAACATTTGGCTGACTAAAAAAAAATCAGTCATATTCTCACTCGCTCACTATTGGTCATTTAGGAAGATGTGAAGGGATGTCCTTTTGCCCTGTAGGAGTGAAGGGTAACAGCAGAGAAAAAAATGATGCTTATGGAGTTAAAAAATGACTATAACCCTCCTGTTTTCAGCCCAGTGAACTGATGCCTAAGTTGAAGGAGATGGCAGCAACGATGGACGGCTTCTACAGATCATTTGAGTACATTCAGGACTATGTCAGCATTTATGGACTTAAAATCTGGCAGGAGGAAGTGTCCCGCATCATCAACTACAATGTGGAGCAGGAGTGTAATAGTTTCCTCAGGACAAAGGTCAGGCCTCACATCCCGTAATGCTGCACTGACAGCAGTTCATTACCCTGTGACTACTTTGCCAATCGGTGGGAGCCGTTCCTTGCTTCTGTTTCAGATTCAGGACTGGCAGAGTGTGCATCAGTCAACCCACATTCCCATTCCCAAGTTTTCCCCCGTGGATGAGTCTGCCACTTTTATTGGTCGTCTCTGCAGAGAGATCCTCAGAATCACCGATCCAAAGTAAATCATGTTTTAATTTATCTTTGAAATAATAGCACAACTAAAGAAACTAAAGATTAGTGTGAAGACCAATATATATCCAAAGCCAGTTTGATTAAAAAGGTTCTCTCTGCAGGGTGACGTGCTACATCGACCAGATGAACACCTGGTACGACCTGAAGGGTCACCAGGAGGTGACCAACAACAGGCTGTTCTCTGAGATCCAGAACACGCTGGGCACATTTGGTCTCAACGGACTGGACCGACTGCTCTGCTTCATGATTGTGAAGGAACTTCAGGTAACTGAGCCCCAAAAATGGCTGCAGGCTACTCAACAATTTCTGCTCTGAAATCTTGGAAGAGATATTGTTCTATAAGAGAATGTGAACTATAGTTTGAAACCTAACTGTGTCATTAGAACTTCCTGACCATGGTTCAGAAGACCATCCTGAAGGACAAAACAATTGTGGATGTTTTCAAAACTGTGCTGGGTGCTGTCAACCCAGTGCAAGGCATTGTGGGTAGGTATCAACCCATGGAAATCAGGAACTTTATTCTTTTACATGTCTTTCATATGACAAGTATTTTTTCCTCTCCTTTTGTAGCTAATGCCAGCAAAACGTATGCAAACGCTGTGGCCAAATCCCAGAAGATCTGGAGTGCGTACCTGGACGCCATAATGAAGGTGGGGGTCCATGTCTTTGTCTCGTTTGTGATCACATGTAATAAGACAAGTGACTTGCCATTGACTCAGTGACATGAAAATAACGTTTAAGGCCTTTGGCTGTCACAGGTTGGTCAGATGCAGATTCTCAGACAGCAGATTGCTAATGAACTGAACTACTCCTGCAAGTTTGATTCCAAACACCTGGCTGCTGCGCTGGAAAATCTCAACAAGTAAGTCCACCAGCACCAATGAGTGCCGATTGTTTTTATCCTGAGGCTTATCTGGTGTAAGGACAAAGGGAAATTAAATTGTTTGATATTGGCGTCATCTTGTTGTTTTTATATGACTTAATTAAATTCCATGAACAGATAGATTTGTTGTTTTAGTTTAACTGGGCTGTAATTGTTGCCCTGCCAGATCTCTGCTAGCAGACATTGAAGCCCACTACCAGGACCCATCTCTGCCCTATCCTAAAGAGGATAACACTCTCCTGTATGAGATCACCGCTTACCTAGAGGCAGCTGGCATTCACAACCCACTCAACAAGGTACATAAATAAATAATTGGCCTCTCTGTGTAATGATTGAGCCTTGTTCAGACCTCACATTTCACCAGAAATGTTAAAAGAAAAAAATCCTGTTTTTACTTGCTGCAGATCTACATCACCACAAAACGTCTCCCTTATTTCCCAATCATCAACTTCCTGTTTATTATTGCTCAGCTGCCTAAGCTTCAGTACAGCAAAAACCAAGGTAAGTTTTCCTATCTGTCCCATAACCGTATCACAGCTCAGCAGTTTGTGTTGAAGACAGGTCAGCAGGTCAGTCAGTACTCATCTGAAGAACAAACCATCCGTAATTATCTCACATCTTTTTTAGAAAGCAGTGTAGCATGTTGTTTTTCTTTGCCCGTGTTCTCAGCAATGTGCCACAGTAATGAATCACTGAGCTGTTTTCTTACAGGAATGACCTGTAGGAAAGCCACGGACCCGGTGGACTGGCCTCCACTGGTGCTCGGAATGCTCACCTTGCTCAAGCAGTTCCACTCGCGATATACACAACAGTTCCTCGCCCTCATTGGTCAGTTCATTCGCTCTATCATGGAGCAGTGCACAAGGTAAAACATTGAAATTAAACTTCTTTGTTTAAAAGGTTATTACTATAGCTACATTATCTCATATTTGAGCTGCCATTTGATACCATTACAGCCAGAAAATCCCTGACATGCCTTCAGATGTGGTGGGAGCTCTGATGTTCCTGGAAGACTATGTGAAGTACACAAAACTCTCACGTAAAGTAAGACAATACTCATTTCTCTAAGATTATTAAAAATGTATTTGATTCACTCTTAAATAACAGGTAAATTATCCCAATAAATACGGTTTAAAGCCTTTTCTGCTGTGAGACTTTGCAAAGTTAAGTGTCATGTCTGATAATGACTGAATGTGATACAAGTGAAGACACTTACGTTTGTAATTGTTTCTGTATTTGACGGGCAGTAACTTTTCTCTGTGCCCTTCAGGTGGTGGAGGCTCATGTTCCCAGCTTCATTTTTGATGAGTTCAGAACAATACTGTGAAGATGTGGTCGGGGCACCTCAGCCGACAAATCATTTTATTGTTGCCATCGGGGTCTCCAGCCATAGTGGAGAACTTTGTCTCTGTTGAAGAAAGCACAGGTGTAACTAAAAAAACAAAAGTGTTTCCCAGAATGTCTGACAGTTCAGGCATGTGTGCATACCTACCCCATCACATCTCAGATGTTTGACGCATAGAAGGCATTTTGCAGAGTTACAGGGGTCGTAAAGCTTGCCAGATGTCAAAATGTCCATTCAACTTTTTACTTTAATTTTTACTAGAGTTTTTGCACTAATGATATTGTATTAATCAAGATGCCTTTAAATACCTCTGTACACTAACATTCTGTGCCATCAGTGACTAAAATGTGTCAATAAACACGATTCTTTGTAAAAAGAAAAAAATAAGAAATCCTTGTTTTTCCATTTTCATAAAAATCTTTGGTCCGTGTATTTACGCTGAAAGTCTCACCCGGAAGTTAAAATGGAGCCGTAGTTTTTGTTTTTCCGCAGGGTGTTTGTGTGTAAGTTTTGACCTGTTGCCTTAATAAAGGCTAAATGCGTCTCTGAAACGAGCCGTTTGAAGGCGGTTTTGGCGTTCATAAAGGAGGTTTGGCGGCTAGGGGCGGTTGGCGTTAGCAGGAACGGCTAACTTAAAGTTAGCTAGTGGGCTCCACTTCCTGCTCTTTCCCTCTGTGGCTGTAAGCGGCAAGAGTTACTCCTCCTAATGTCTCTGAGCGCTGTTCACGGAACGCTTTCGAGCCTAAAATCATGCCAGGCCGACATCGGGACCGGGATGGACATTGTGACGGATGTGGCGATGGACCTGGTGGAGGTGGAGGGTAAATATCACCAACACACTCGTTACAGCTGAAACTTTGTTGACTTCTCTTAGTGGTTTTATATTTATTAGTGGATTCACTCTAATCCATTCTATTTGTTAAACTGCACTGCAAACTTGGACGACTGTTGTTATTAATTTGGCCTAATTTATTATCAGATAAGGAGACTTTCACACATACTTGATGGTTATATTTCCATATTATCACACCAGTTTTATCCATTGTGCAATAACATATTGAAGGTGTACTTGCTGGAATAATTTTTCTCACAATGATTTTCTCTTGTCATTTCCATAGGGCAGCTTATTTCAACTTCCACCTTCATTTGTGCCCTTTTGTTTCAGGTGAAGACGTGCATCCAGGGGTCAAAGACATGGAGGTGATGATTCTGGAGTGTGCCAAGCTGGACAGGGAGATCAACTACTTTATTGATGCCGTGCAACAAGTCACATCCGAGGTGAACGCTATATATGTCTCACTGAATGAGTGGAAAACAAGTCAGTCTTGTACAAAGATTTTTTAAACGAGCATTATGTTTTGTTTGGTGTCAGATTAGAGTGGCTGAATGTCGTTTTCTGATTGAAAGAAAGCGCTTAATGCTCCTCTGCTCCTGAAGGTAACTGCGCAGCAGCCAGAGACCATGTTCCACCTCTCTGACAAGGTGAGGGACAAGTTTTCCGAGCGGGTGGCCAGGCTCTCGGATGCTGAACTACACAATCACCAGAAAGTGGTGGCTTTTAAGGAAAGCATCAACAACTCACTTAAACAAGGTAAGGCTTTCGGAGGGACACCGACGGCTAAATGATGTGAATCGATTGACTCTGTGGGCGATATCAGCAGCCGAGAAAGAAGCTGGAAGCATGTCTGCTTTCTTCAGTGTTAAAAAGTGTTTGCACATCAAAAGAAATGGAGCTAAAGAATGAAATGATAATTTCTTGCGCTGCATAATTGTACATAAAAACCTGGAAGAATGTCAGGTGACTAAATGAATAAATAATGTGGATGTTTACTAGGATCTGCAGGGGGAAAAAGTGTTAAATGTCAATTTGTCACACATTTGCTCTGTGGATGGTACTTTTAGTTTATTTTTTGCTTGGAGTCCATCAGTAAAAGTAATTTAGTTTGAGCCCACATCCCTGTCTGTATGATATTTTCTTGCTATCTTGTCAATGTTCCAGTTCATTTTCTGTCTCTGTGATTGGACTTTTGGAAACAAGCCCCATGTTTGTTGTGTTTCTAGCCAACGAAGAGTCAGCAGAGAACATGGAGGAGCTTGACGATGACATTGCTGTCACACAGAGCCAACACAATTTCTCGTGCCCACTCACACAGGTAAATTACCCGCTGTAATGACTTTTTTTTTTGTTGCATCAGTTGTAACGCATTCCTCTTTTTCTCCTTTACAAATCTTTCTGTGTTCTTACTCCTCTGCTCAATCCCTGCGATGTTTGTTCAAGCTGCTAAATGCTGTTTGCAGTCTCATGAGTTTCGTTATTCAGCTCACCTCTGTGCATCTGTATTCAAGGTGGAAATGGTGAACCCAGTGAAGAATAAGAAGTGCAACCACCACTACGAGGAGGCAGCCATACAGAGCCTGATCAAAACAAAAAAGAGCCAGAAAAAGAAATGCCGGTGAGGCGTTCTTCCTTGGGGGACGGTTAGAAAGTGGAGTCAGGAAACGGCTGGGACCAGCAGCATCCTGCTTTAATTTCCCACATTCACGTTTCTTTATTTTACCACTTTGATGCTGGATTCAGATTAAACGTGGCTGGTCCTAGAGGAACACTGATGAAATCCCAAAGCTTCTCGTCAAGGAATCTTAGCCGTAGTCTCTGAGTCATTTCTGTAGTCACTATGTTCAATTAAAGGCTCAGTTTCTTTGCATGTGTGCTGGTGAAGTCCTGCTGAGCCGCTGGCTAACAGCTCTGCCATTAGCCTGGAAGAGCCTATGTTTTAAGGTTCAGCAACACCAATGATTTGATGTCATGGATCTCGTTAAAGCATGTGTTTCATAAAGTTCTGTGCAGTTAAATAATCCACTTACTAATTAGGGTGAGCCGTGGTTGGTTAGGGTTGGACTTACCCAGAACTACGCTTGACCTCCCCCTCCTCTTTGTCTTCCAGCTGTCCTGTGGTCGGCTGCGGCAACACGGATGTGAAAGAGTCGGACCTCATCCCCGATCAAGTGCTGAGAAGGAAGATCCAGAGCCAAAAAAGACAAAAAGACAAGATGTAGCGGTCAAGTGTTTTGTGTACAGGCCCACTGTCCCGTTTCATCACTACCACATCTCCACTGTGTCCATTGGCACAGCAGACACCTTTTTCCCCCGTTTTGACTTTCGCCAGCACCCTTCATCATTTTTTACTTTTACTGGATGTAAATAAAAAAAGGCAGATTTTTGCAGGATTTCTGATGTTTTTGCTTAAGCGATGCAGTTAGTTGGCCGCTCCACAAGAGAGCAGCGTTCACATATTGTCACAGACTAAAGGAACATTTCTGTAATATCACTTCTCAGCCACAGGTGTGTGTAGGATTACAAGGAGATCAGTGCCCAGCAGCCCCCCCATGGTGGCCTGGTCAGTGAGTCATTACTTTCTATGAATGAGAATTGGTTAAACCTTCGACTCCTGATCCTCGGTCTCAAAGGAAGACACTCTAATTTAATAGCAGTTCTGCTAGGGGCGGAAAAGAAGTGCTGAAGCAGGAGTGTGCCGGAACCGTAAACAAAGCGTTGGGTAACTTGGATGGGAATGCTCTTATTATGATTAAATCTCCCCCTTCTGCACGCAGCCTGTGAGGGGTCATTGTTCCTCCGGGAAACAAACAAAGGCGGCGTTGAGATGAAACTGGGCAAAGCTAATCTTTTAATATCCTTGCATCAGGCGTTTTGAAAACAAATTCTTGGTTGTTCCTTAGCAGCGTTAAGAGCATTCGGCAGAAAGAAACCAACTGGCAGCAACTGCCCTGGCTCACGTTGACTCACTCACTTCCCATTCTCCTTCATTTTCAAGTGCCATTCTGTGGATCTAATTGGCTTCACAGCAAACCTGTCCCCTGTTGCGAGCAGGGAAAGGTTTCTTCTTTTAGGCATCATGGATGATAAAATAGCCTTATTCTTACTATTGTCCCCTTATAAAAACTATTGGACCCACAGTCTGCCACATATTTAATCCCCAGCTTTCTAAAGAACCTTTATTTCATTGCTCTGTCTGTTCCTGATCTAAAACAATATATATTTCTAGATTGTCTATATTTTTTGGGTGGAAGTGACACGATTACGCGCCCCGATAACTCTTCCAACCTGTGTGGAAGGAAGCAGGAAGCGTTTGGGATGAGCCAGTAGTGGGTGAACGCGGCTCGCTGTCGCTTTAAATGACACCACCTCCCAGCGGGTCTGGGGCGAGTTTTTTTCGCTGCAACAAACACAGTTTCGTGCAACAGTTCAGTCTGCAGCTGAGTAAAAACCACACGCACCAGCGGCCCGCCGCGCACGGCAGAGCAGGGGAGAGCAGGGGGCCGGATGCGAGCTGCTTCCAACCCGGGGAGGGACGCCAGGGCGCCACGCGGACTGTGGAGTCGCCTCCAGGTGAGTGATCGATGCCCGCCGAGTTCACAGGGGAAGGGGGGGTGAGTTTCACTAGAGAACGACTGAGAAAGTCAGAGAGGGGGGCAGATGAGCCGGTGAAGCCCCGTAAACGGGATCGCGATGTGATGTGGTTACGTGGAGTGGGAAATGCGGGCCGACAGGTGAGTCGGGTCACACCTGAATGCAAACGAGCGTTAGGTAAACTTGTGTACGTGTGCCTGCCGTGTCAGCCCAACGCGCCCTTAAAGCTAACGTGCTGTTTTCTGCCCCCCCCCTCTTCTCCCCCCCCGGGTCGGCCAAGGTGGTGATCCGCTGAGGAACGGAGCCCGCAGCTGGACATGGATTAGCCTACTGGAGCCCGTCGTGGCAGTGTGGGATTTAGTTAAGACTCAGGGCAACTCCGCGCCCCCCCCACCCCACCCCACCCTCCCCTCCCGTCTCCTCCAGAGGAGTCAGTGCCAAAGCCAAATAGAAAACAGGTGGATCCTGTTTCACTGCGCGGTTTCGATCCCCGTCTCCATCCCGATGGGGAACCAGGTGGAGAAACTAACGCACCTAAATTACGCAGAGGTGCCCACGTCAGACCCGAACGGGTTCGACCCGGACGGCGACGGGCCGCGGATCGGCGTGTCTTATATCTTCTCTAATGACGACGACGACGACCAGGACGACCACCTGGACCACTTTCCGTCGGACAGTCCGGCGGAGGAGCACGCGGAGAAGCCCTTCGACCCCCTGGACGAGCTGGACTGCGCCATCCTGTACCGGGAGGAGTGCGCGTACGAGAGGCGCGCCGGGGCCGCCGGCCACTCTCCGGAAAGCCTCCTGAACAAGTGCCAGCCGGGGGACCTGCTGGAGTTCGTGGCCACCGGTCAGTACCCGCACTGGGCGGTGTACGTCGGGGACTTCCAGGTGGTCCACTTGCACCGGGCCGAGATCAAGAACAACTTCCTGACCGACGTGAGCCAGGGCAAGGCGGGCAGGATCGTGAACGGCCTCTACAGGTACCGCGCGCTCCCGCCGGAGGTGATCGTGCGCAACGCGCTGGAGCACGTGGGCTCCCGGGACAGAGAGCTGTGCTGGAGGAACTCCGAGTGCTTCGCCGCCTGGTGCCGCTTCGGCAGGCGCGAGTTCAAAATCGGAGGGGAGATCAGGATCGGGAAGCAGCCGTACAGGCTAAAACTGCTCTTTTCCGAGAAGAAAAGCCATATCCTGGAGTTCCAGAGTCTGGAGGACGTGATCATGGAAAAGAGGAGGAACGACCAGATCGGCAAGGAGGCTGTGATGCAAGAGCTGGCCAACCATTTGAATGCCACACAGGAAATCAAAGACCAGCACTTTAACTGACAGTGAGGATTTTGAAGGTTTGGTTTATAGGGGACGCTCACTGGAAATGCACAAGGTGGGAAAAGGAGGGCATGCTTACAGATGGAGGAGCACTGGTACCTTCAGTAGGCCAGTCCAGAGCTCTGTTCACGACCACGTGCAAATCCAGAGGGCTGTCTGGAGTTCTTTGTCCGACTGTCACTGTGGATGCAAGAATAAGGGACTTGATGTCCAGGCCAATCATTTTAGCGAAGAAGTCTGAATTTCATTACCCATAATTATTTTTCTAATCAAAAGGAGTGGCGAGGTGCCCTGTGCTTTTACCTGACCTGAAAGTGCTTGCCCCAGTCAAACTCAGGTGTTGGAGTCTAATACAGAGTAAAACAAAAAAAGAAAAACAGAAAAGACAACCTGTGGCTCTTGTTGTGATTACTGTACCAATCATGAGGATTCCCTTGTGTTGCTTTATATCCAACTGTGTCACAGCTTTACCGGTAGACGTTGTCCATAGCCATGACTGTGCACCTTTAATGATCCGACATTTTCAACAGTTTCTATTTTTGGAGAGAAAAAAAAACAGATGTTTGTATGAAGACTTGTGGAAATAAATATATATTTGAAGAGTAAAGCTTTTTTTTTAAATGTCTTTTTTAGTGAGGGATTGCAGCCGGCCTTCTCAGTGTCCAGTGGGAATGTTGCTACAGTGAGCGTTAATCATTTCAAACCACAGACTTCAGGTTGGAGAGGGAAGGTTATCTCGCATTCTGAGCAGTGGCTCTTGTTGTGCTCTGCACTGGTGATTTAAAAGGATTTCTCACCCTGGAGGAGTCACAGCTCCTCTTGTTCAACTGGTGAGGTTTTTGTCGTCTCAAGAGGGTGAAAGTTGGCTGTACTGATGCTCTGATCTACAAGTAATTAATCTAAATATTCATGTCACACTGGCGGCAAGCTGAGATGATTTAAAGATCGGACGGGTTTTTTTTACTACTGTCGAGACGAGGTGCAGAAATACTGGGCATTTGGTTTTGTTTACACCTCTGCTCACTGAAGATAAGTCGTTTTTTACTTTCAAGTTTTACCGCAGGCTAAAAAATGCCTTTGGTCCTATGTTTACCACTACATGAACTGAAAAGGTTCAGTCTTATTTCTGTGCACCAATAAATGGGTAGGATTTTTCACCTGAAGCCAAATTACATAAACTTTGCTCTTTTTTTTTTACAGATAAAGTATTTTCAGAAAAAAAAAAAAGCGCTTCTAACCATCTTTAGAGTATTTTCAACAAGAGAGGAGGAAGTAGTATTACCCCCCCTTTTTGTTTTTTTTTCCCCCCCCCCCCCCCCTCCTGTGCCTCAGACTGAGCTGGCGGTCACAGCCCTCAGACGGTCGGCAGCTTTGGCCTGAGCATTTCCCTCCCAGGTAATGCTTTCCCAGAGACAATGCTGCTGTCACTTTGTGGCGGGTGAGATCCCACCGGACACAGGGCAGCTTTCTCATCAGCACTGGAGCCAAGCAGGAGTGCTACCGGATGCATTAGCATTTCTTCAACTCTCTGTGGTCCGCCACGGTGATGAAATATGAATTGCGCATGATGCATATTTATGATAATCGGTCTTATTTTTTAGCACCACACAGAGAAGCACTGAGGCACACATCAGTAAAGCAACTGCCGGTGGCATCTTGTAATTGCGAATAATAACTCAAATTTTTCTTCATGTGTGACAAAGCAGAAATGAATTACACATACACTGTGCCTTCCTTTCAATTAGATTTACTCTGCGGAAATTTGTGGGTTTTCTGCCGTCTCAACGCACGCCACGAAGACAGCCTTATGAAAAACCATTGTAAAAGGAGAGGACACCATCAGGTTGTCATCTGCATTCATATAGATTTTGGTCCCATTTCATAGAGCAGTTTGTATGCTTGTGAAATTGTAAATCTGCCCTGTGGCGTTTCCTTGTAAAACAAAATTTGGGTTCCTCATCAAAAGATTGTGTGTGTGTGTGTGTCTCTGGGAATGTGCTGAATGTGTTTCCATTCCAAAAGACAAGGAAAATCAATTGTAGATATATTTGAAATGGAAAACAGTTGCATTTGCTTGTTTGAAAACTCCCTCAAAACATTTGTTGGCATATTCTGAAAACACTGTTGATTTAGCGATTCCAAAAATAATTGCAAACTAGACATTGCTAGCAACTCTTTCTCATCTGAAACTCTCAAAGGCAGGTGTCATACCAGCTTGGTTTCCTGGGAAAATGGAGAAATATTCATGTAACTGGAGTTTTTGAAGCAGCAAATCTTTTTTTTGTGGACAGAAATCTTGGAAAAAGGACATTGAATCCAAGGCACAATGTTTGTTCATGTTAACCCTCCTCTTTAATAGGCTGGATGGAATGTGCTGAACTCCATCCAAACTGAGACTGTAAGCTGGAAACGGTGGAAAGTATTTAATGGTGACGACAGCGGTGAACAAGGTGGGATTCAAACTTGACTCCACCACTTGTCATCAGGGCTGTGGAGGGTGTACTCCATTTCCTCATCTCTCAACATAGAATTGTTCTCCAATTAAATGTGACGGTCAACACGATTATTTCACAAAATTCTGTCTTTTCTCTACATGTCTGCATGGCCTTTTTTTTTACACTGGTCAAAAAAGGTCAAAGGATTTCATCTCATCTGACCATTTGGAGAATTAGATTAATGGTATAAAATGACAAAACAAAACAAGTGTATACAAAAGAGAACAGGAAGACATGTCTATCATTTACATTGTAATGAGACGTTAGTCTTCAACATTTGTTCACAACTCCATCTTAGAGTCCTACTGGAGACTGCTTTGCTCCTCTTTTTTTTAACCTTTGCTTTCACCCTCTCCTTCTTTTTACACATCAAAGCTAAGTGGTTTATTACATAAAACAGAACATGGCATAAGATTCCTAATTCAAGCTTAGAGAAAAAAAACATGTAAAGCTTGCCATGCACACAGCCAACATATTTCTGTGTTGCAAAATAATTTTTGTTCCTGTTTCTTTAAGGAATTCCTCCTCAAAACGCTGCTCTGACAAGTGCTGATTGTTTGGACATAACAGAGCGTGAAGTAACTATTCATTTTTGTCTGAGATGTGCCTCGGACAAAGTTTCCACAAATGTGGCCTTGTAGACAGGCCAGAAGTGGTGGGTTTCAGCCCTCTCAAACAGAACCTTAACCACCCCAGAAAAAGGCCACTGGTGCCTCAGGCACACAAACAAAATAACATGTCCTTTTCAAATGTCTGAGAAACAAAAAGTGTGAAACCTGGGAGCTTTTGTTTTCCTTGTGCACAACACCTGATTGGCCGTTGAGTCTGTTGTGTTTCCTGTGGGCGCTTGGAGGAAAGCCTGCACATTTGAAGTGAAACTGGGAACTGAATTGAAATTGGGGACAAGCCAAGTTCAAATCAAACCCACCCTGTGTTTAGATGCCATTCTAAACACTTCCCTCTTCCTAATGCTGCATGTTTGAACTTTAGTGGAGTGAGCCTATGAAAAGATTGTTTCTGACAGGCAGGAAGTGGGAGTGTTTTTAGATGTGGCCTTGAGCTCCAGCTAGATCCTTATCCATGTGGGGAAAACCATGTGTGGTTTAAAGGGCAGCTTTTGAGGACATTCAAAAAATCAAGGTTATTCTTTTAGTGTTTGCATGTCACTTCAGGGCTTTCATTTGGATGCCGGTATTCTGCCACACCGTGTTTTGCAGCTCAAACAGGTGCTGAGAACTGCAAAGGTTTGTGCCACAATAGGATTCCTCTTTAACCATCAAAGACTGGGATTCGTGAGTGGCTTATGTGGGAAAAGAGTGTGTCTGTGAGATAATGTAGGCAAAGTGACGATAACTACTGTGCCTGCCTTGGATTATTTGAGGTATTTCTTAGATCAGATTTTGCCCTGTTGATATAACCAAGAGTTTAATATAAAAGACAGGCCATTTTCATGTCATGTTAACTGTTCACAGTAGAAGCATGGGTGAGTTTGGCTGCCTGAAAACCCATCTGCCACAGACTGCTGTGTTTGTCAGGGTATTTCAGTGCCCACTCACCTGAGTCATGTTTATTTCCATTTCCTGGGTAGAGAGACAATAATGAAACCCCAAAAGCTATTGTAATTAAGTGCACTGCATTCATTATTAGTCATCAATCCCAGGTGCTGCAACTTCCGCAGCTTTTCTTGTTTACCCGCACTAACTTGGTCCAGTCACACATGCTCACAGTGAGTTAATTTCTACGGTGCCTCCACCAGTCTGTCGCAGTCTGGGCTGTGTTTACTGTTGGTCTCAGGCTAGTGCTGGGCTATGATTCTTTCTTGTCCGGATGTTGGATGACCGCTTGTTTGCTCAGCAGAACAATGGCAAAGTCCATTCCCCCTTCCCTGATGCATGGAGTTCCAAAGGTCCCTCTCCCCCCCTTTTAAAAGCAACATTCCCACAGTTTTTGTTTTCACACAAAATTCAGTTTTTTGTTGTTGTTTTTTTTGCTTTACCTTCTGCCTTCTCTTGTGAGCAGATCTGTGAAGCACAGTGTGCATGCAACAGAACAAGAAAGCCCAGTCCTCCCACGTGGTTTCTTTCTCTTTCGTTGACAAATGTGGTTCCTCAGGACAGCGCAGTAGACTGTGAAGGTAAAGCCATTGTTAAAAGCTAGAGCTGGGGAAGCACTGATCAGTTTCAAGAAATCATGGTGGCTTAAAGGAAATAACAAGGAAACAATACAATGGAGCAAACGAGGCCGGGAAGAAGCAGTGTGTAAAGATAGCTGTGAGACAGCGTTAACAATGTCTCCGATTTGATCTGACTAGAGTTGGAGTGTTTTTACATGGACAACAGGAGCTGATGAGTGGCTCTCCAGAATGGAATCAGCCACTATTGTGATTTGAGCTGTCATGTCCGGTCAGCCGAGGATGTCTGGTTTACATAACCAGAACCAGAAAACAAGAAAGAGCCAGAGGAAACAAAACTGACCCTGTTCTCTGGACAATGATAGATGAAAAAAATGAATGAAAGACAAAAATATAAAAAAGAGAAAGGCCATTGAGTAATGACCTGAGAGAAATAGAAAAATACAGAAACAACAGTTACTGCTAAACCCTCAAAGTTGAACTGAGATGCGACTGCAAGTATTTGCCTTCAAGCTTTTTGACCCTGTTTGTCACTTCAGTTATTTCAGGCCGACTGATTCAGTAGCAATCAACATTCATCTCATTCTGAATCATCACAGGATTTCCTGCCTTGTATCCTCAGTTTAAGTGACTTTACATTGTGCAAGTAAACATATTCAAATTCTATCCATTTCAATTTCGCAGAGTCAAATTTAGATATTCATACAATTGTAGTCCTTATTTACATGGCTGATGTTACATAAGTGGATAAATGGCTCATTATGTTGTTTCTCTCTAGATCTTTTTTTCCCTTTTCCATATTTCAGTACTTGACTAATTTGCAAAGAAGCGATCTGGCAGATGCTATGTTAAAATCTTACAAATACTTCCACATGAACCGAACAGCTTAGAGAACCTGCTAGTATTTTGTGTGATTTCTCCCTCTTGGAATTAGGACTCATTGATAAAGGCACTTCGAACAGATGCCAGTTTCACAGTTTGAGCTAAAAACCTAAATACATCACTACAGCGGCATGCAGAAGCTGGCCAATAACCTTTGAGACTTTAATGAGAAAAACTCAAAACTAAAGCACGAGTTAAAAATAGCAGAAAGGACAAGAACTAAAAAAGCTGAACAAAGAGGAAAGGCTTCCTGAAGATTGAGCAAAACCACCAGCAGAGCACCAACAGACCATGACAAAAACAATTGATTTGACTTTGAACAAAGGAAAATCTAGAGGGTGTATATCGAGGGAGGTGAGAACAAACGGGCAACAGATGTGGGACTCAGAAACTGTAATGAAGTTAACTTAAAAGAAAGTGCAGGGTGGGAAGCTCGATTAAATGAGACAGGAAGTAAAGAAAGTGAAATACAAGTTGAAGCTAAATAATCAGCAGTGATAACCAAAACATAAAAACAAAGACCACATAATGCCTCACAGCACTGCCAGAAAGATCGGTATTTTTCTAAAGCTCCTCACCAGTTGTTAAAAGAACAACTTTTTAAAAAAACTTCCTTTTCCACTTTCTTGTGTGAGTGTTACTTTGAATAGTTTGA